TAGGAAAAACCAAAGAAAACGTGTGTCACTTTTACAATATAGAAACTAATTAAAGAGATGTGATCTTGAACCAATTAAAATGACGTCGTCTCGCCATTTGAATATATGTTCAAATCGTTGCCCGATTCTCCTCCTTCTTCTGGTTTTGATCTAATCTTCCTCTTTCCTCTCTATCTCCAATTCAGCTGGCTTCCTTGCTTCTCCTCCTAACATCCTCCCCCTTAGAATAACCTTGTCCCCAAGGTTTTAATGAAGGAAATTTGGTCAGTATGGATTCTGAAGTTTCCCAGGTTGAATCCTCCGATGGTACCTCTATGTTCAACTCCTTGCAATTGCCTGTTTGTAACTTACCATTAATAGGATAATTGTCACCAGGAGTATCCTTGGTCCCTCCAGCTTCCCTTCTTATTCGAATTTTGCTAGGTCTAGGAGGAGGAAAATGAGTATCATGATGTACAATCCAAGAATCTTGGTTGCTAAATAGTGAGTTTGAGTTATCTGGCATACCTGCAACCCCATAGGATAGATCTACAGATGACTATCTCTTTCCCTCGGGATCAACAGATTCCAAGTTAGCAGGAATCCTTAGTTGAGATCATTGAGTGTCATCCTTCCATTCACTAGCAGGTGGAATTCTTTCAGCTAAAAGAGGAGGTTCAATCAATTCATAACATTCTGCTGGAAGAAAATTATGCATTTTGGGATCAGCAACTGGCTTGCCCTAATCATTATCGTGAGTTGGTTACAATTTTTTCACCATTTGTTTTAGCTAGTCTCTTTTTGGATGTTAATGAAATTTTAGTTGATGCATAGTCAACCTATTCTACTGCATTACAATGAGTTGATTATATTTTTATCATCATTAAATTCATGGCCAAAAACTTCAAGTTTGGTGTTGATTAAATTGTGCCCGCACTGAACAATATTTCTGGCTCCGCCCTGGGATCCAGCACCCGGGCGAGCCCTGCGGTCATTCGTGTTAGTTCCATCGGCGGTATTTAAAGAATTGTTTGTTGTTCCATTTGTTATATAGCTTGATGGGCAAATGTCGAAAAAAACAGAACTATTGGAGGTGGAGATAATGCCTTTAATATTTTCTTCAGTGAAACCAATGCTGGGAACATGTCCCGGGGCTTTTTTGTAGATCTAGAGCCTACTATGATTGATGAGGTTCATACTGGTGCTTATCGCCAAATATTCCACCGGAACAGCTCATCAGTAACAAATAGGATGATGCCAATAACTTTGTTAGAGGTCACTACTGTTAAACAATACAAAGAAATAAAGAAAAGGAAAAAGATGTTAGGGTTTCATTAATTCTGCATAATATAATCGAATACAAAAGAATGATTTAATTTAGAAACAAAGCGACTATATATAAGCTAAATAAAGAAAACTAAAAAGATTATTCTACCATTAATAAACAATAAAATAAAATAACCCTATGTTTCTTAACATCTCCCCTCAAACTCATGATACTGCTGCAAGAAGTATCGAGAGTTTGCCATGTAAGAAACGAAAACGATGAACCGGATGTGACTTCGTGAAGAAGTTAGCAAATTGCAACGATGAAGAGACAAAAGGTAGGGAAATGTGCCAGTCTACATAAATCAAATCTTCAAAATTGCTTGTATGTCAACCAAGCAGAATAAAGAACTCAAAGTTGATGATAATGAAAAATCATCATCCACCAATCTAACCAAACCTATACAAATTTCAAATTCCAACTCCACAAATACCAAATGAAGTGGATGCAAATTTCAAATTTCGAATACACCGAACCAACACCAAATCAAATTCCAGATGAACTAGACATGTACCAAATCAAATTCCAGATGAACTAGACATGTACCAAATCAAATTCCAGATGAACTCGACATGTACCAAACCAAATTCACAATCCCGTGAACCAGGCATATACCAAACCAAATTTTAGATTACCTACTATATAACCAAAAGCTTAAAGAAAAACTCCAAACTAGCTTAAGAGAATAAAAGACCCAACTCCGAACAAAAGCTACCAACAACAACTCTCGAGGCCCAAAAAGAAACACCGAATAACCAACAAAACCCATGGCCCAAATCAAAATTTTCAGCTCATACAATCTAACAATCCACAATAAAATCAAACTAATTAAATAATTGGCCCAATTACTCCAACACTCCAAAAAACACAACCAACTCACAAAAGAAACTAGATTGCAACACAAACAAATTACTACTCAAAACAGTCCACACTAAATAGCAAACCTAATATAACAAGTCCAATTATTTTTATCAAAACACGAGCCATAAACATAAGTCCAACATCAACACAAAACCAATAGCCTATTGGCCCAAATTAAACTCAAGCCCACTACTCAGGCCAACCTAAACAATTTCACCATTTATGACTCAAAGACAATTCACTGAGCCCATTAACTACGTGACTGGGTGTCACGAACTGCAGCTTTACCTAAGCCCCGTGACCCTATCGCAGTCGCAGTTTGCCCAACTTCGGCTGCACATTGTAAACATTTCATTTAATTGTAAAATAGTTGATAATTAGAAAAGTTTAGTATGATTCCTCGGCTTTTTAACGTCTACTCCCGTCATAGGGGTTTTTGTTGCTAAGTCTATTATAGGGGCTGTTAGTCTTTCAAACATCTTTCAAGCTTTCTAGTGTTCACCCCCTGCACTAGCCATTGTAATTTCCTACTTTCATCTATTGTAATGTTTAACTTTCAAGCAATCAATGATCAAGTTTATTTCAATACATTTCAATTTCATTTTGTAAACTTTTTTTAAATTGTGATCAATATTGTATTGCACTGATATGAGAATGCACCAACTACATCCTCATCCTCTTCGGAGTTGGTCTCGCCATGACAACTAGCTTGTGGGGTACCTTGCTTTGATTTGGTCCTGCCACTTGCTAGTTGGCAATATGCATTCACCATCCATTTCTGAGGACACTCAGCCACCCGATGTGGTCCTTCATATAAAAAGCACTTCAATTTAGGATTGGCATCAGATTTGCCCACCTTTGCTTTTTCTTGGTTCCAATTGTTATTCTGACGGTTGCCTTGATAGGCTCCTCCCCGATTCTCCCCCATTTGAGCTCGAGCTAGGTCTATGAGGTCTATTTCCACCTCCGATAGACTGACTATTTCCCGAATATCGATCATCTTTCAATTCTGGTTAATAGTCACTCAAACATTCGGCAGCTCCAATAGCTGCATTTAAGTCAATGACCTTCTGTCTCTGAAGTTCCGTGCATGCCCACGGTTCCAACCCTTCCATGAAGGTGAATAGCTTGTCCCTTTCCGACATGTCTCGAATATTCAGGAAAAGGCTTTCACATACTCCCTGATGGAGCCTGTATGTTTCAAATCTCGCAGCGCAGTGCTCATGCAGTATCTTCGACACAAAATGGAGAAAAAGCTTACATTTTTCATTTGTGTGCTTCTAGGGCAGACCTAGAAGAACCATTTAGAACGGGCTAAAAGGAATACCCTCCATATTCAAAACAAAAGTTTCCAAACCAAAATCATTTCTTGAATTCGAATCCCTTCCCTCAAAAATGTCTCTTCCTGGAACTCTATAATTTCAGGCTATTTTCAAAACCCACCAACCACATGAAGCCCAACTCTTGTTTGATCAAATGCCAGAGAGAAACACTAATTCTTGGAATGGATTAATTTTTGGGTACATAAAAATTGGGATGGTAAAGGAAGCTAGCAAAATATTCGAGGCGGGAATGAATTAACAGCCATGGCCTTCTCTGAACGCCTGAAAGCATTTAAACCCAAGCAAACCATTTTGGAGGCTGAAGGTGAGGCAGCTAAGTCAAAACAAACTTTTTTTGTTTTTTGATGTTAAGATTTACAAGGGATTCGGTAAATGATGCTATATTCTGGCTCTAATTCTTAAACTTTTTCTTCTCTGACTTTGAAATTTCTTCACCTACTTCTTTTCAACATCAACATAACATCACATAAAAAACAACGGAAAATAAGAGAAAACAGCTATGATTCCATGTTAAACAATCCAAAGAAATAAAGAAAAGGAAAATGATGCTAGGGTTTCATTAATTCTGTATAATGTAATTGAATACAAAAGAATGATTTAACCTAGAAACAAAGCGACTATATATAGACTAAATAAAGGAAATTGAAAAAAATATTCTACCATTAATAAACAATAAAATAAAATAACCCTATATTTCTTAACAACTACATTACTGGCAAAGAAATTGTGGATATGTGTCTTGGCAGGATCCATAAGCTTGTTGATAACTGTACAGGGTTTCAAGGGCTCTTGGTGTTCCATGCTATTGGTGGTGGCACTGGATCTGGGCTTGGGTCACTGTTGCTTGAAAGGCTTTCAATCGTCTATAGTAAAAATTCAAAGTGTTTCACTATTTATCCCTCTTCTCAGGTTTCAACTGATGCGGTTAAACCTTATAATTCTGTGCTCTCGACTCATTCTCTTTTGGAGTACTCTGATGTTGCTATGCTGCTTGACAATGGGGCATTTATATATTGATCGAAGAGTTTTTATATTATATAATTAAATATTATTAAACGATCTCGTTATTGCGGTTATTGACGATCAATGATCAATAATCATCCTAACTCACCAATATTCCTAGATTCGCCACTGGTCATAGGACCTTGTTGGACTTCGGATTGAAATTGCTCCTTATCAACTGCCAACATTGTCGCCAAGTGGCAGCCAAAAAATGCTTGTGCCGGAGCACAGTTTGTGAGTTGGGTTGGGCTTGCTCTTCTTCATAGTTGTCTCTTGTTGGCCCAAGAGTCCATTTAGCTCTACCACAGTACTTAGGGCTGGGCAAAAATTAACTCAAATTTGTCAACCGACTAATCCAACCCCACCCCAAACCGATCGATTTGTGTGGGTTTTAAGTTCAATGAGGTTGGATTTGAGTTGAAAAATCAATTTTGAGGTCTATTTGGATTGGTCTCGGATTATGAATTAAAACTCAACACAACCCAACTCGATAAATTAAAAAAAGTGTATACCTAAGTAAAAACCTAAATAGACCCAATAGAGGAGACAAGAGAAGGACTTGGAACGTACAAATGTTCATTTTTTTACCTAGGCTTATTGGCATGAATACTATGTACAAAAGCAAAATTATTTGACAATAAACTAAAAATTAAGGTTAAGATGATGATATGAATGAATTCCAAAAAAAAAAATAGTGAAAAAAAAAATGTTCCATAATTTCAAACGTATTTCTATGTTATTTTTCAGAAAGAATTCCTTAGATAGATTAAAAATAATGGAGGTTCAATAATTAATATTCTAACTAATAAAATAATCAATACTTTACGTGTGGAACTTCAAAATGAAATTAATACATAAATCCAAGATTACAATCGGTCCACCGTACAAACTCTCGTGATGCACACTATAAATGGAGTTTTCCAAATTCAGACGCATTGCACGTAGAAACATAATTGGAAAATACCCTTTTCCACTGTAACCAATGTTCTAAATAGCGTAAATCGTAGCGTCGAGATCAAGAATCACAAGTTTAAGCGTGTCAATGCGAAAAATAAGCGTTATAATACGTTTCGTATTTTTAATATTATTTTAATCATTTTTAAGACATTAAATATATTTTTATATAAAAAAATAGATTTTTTTAAGGGAAAAAAAGGAGGAGGGGGCATAAGGCGCGCTTAAGCGCGCTATAGCGGTCAACAAAAAAGGTTGACCGCTTTTTTACGCGAATACCTCGAAGCGGAGTGTTTTCACCTCGCTCCGCGCTATAGCGACGTTATTTCCCGCTATTTAGAACACTAGCTGTAACACATCACAACCGACAAAAATGTGTTTGGCTATAAAGAATGGAAAAATATAAAAATATACTACTTCGTCAAATAAGAAAAATTCAAAAAATAAAGAAAGTAATTTTAACGAATAACGACGTTAAATGTAGTAAAATTCGCAAAATATACCATGTATATAAGGTGTAATTACACTTTGTAGAACGTATTTTAATTGTGAAAAAATTATAAATAGTAGCTTAGGGGACAAAAACACCATAATTGAAATAATAAATCACGTCATGTATGCATTGCTTTACGTAACGTTTTGCATACTATTTAATATTTTTTAATCATAAAATTTTAACTAAATGTCTTTTTCTAGTGGTTTTTTTGTTTGGACACGCGCGAGAGGTTTATAAAATTTATTATCTTATTTTCCCGAACTCTAATATCAAATTAATAAAAATAAATTTAGGAAGTTTAATAATTTATTGAAAAATATAAAAAATACTTCATTTGACTCTTCCGACATTGTAAAACAAATAAAAAATATTAATTATTATATTTTGATTAATAATCATTTTTCAACGAATAAAAAATATAAACCAATCAATTAAGGTAACTTTTTATATTAGTTGTTAATTCATAGTAAAATTCCTCCTTATTCGTTTAAGGTTGGGGTAATTTTGCAACTCGGATAATTGTTAAAAATACAAGAATAATTTTATTGTATCTATCGCATATGATTTTTTTCGAGAAGCGTTCGTAGAAGAGAAAATATTTAATATAATTAGTAAAAAAATAATTTAATTATTGTAATGGCAACATTCTAAGTTTTTTAGCAAAAAATAATTTTTTGTTACCATATTGTACAATAAAATATGTAAAGTGTAAATTTTAAAAACATATGGTGTAATGTGTAAATATACCATATATTCATGGTGTATTTAAATGCTTACAATAAGTTATTTAGCTTATGAAATGTGTGACAAAACGATAGATGGGGAGTGGATAAAAAAAAGAAGAAATTACACCTAACCCTAGATTTGAAGTACCAATTTCATAAATCCTAAATCAAGTTTCATATTACAAAAATCAGGTTTTAATTAATAATTTAAAAATATTTTTTATATCTAATTAATAATTTTTATTCCAATTAATAATTTCATCCTAANTAAATACTAATTAATAATTTTCATTCAAATTAATAATTTCATCCTAAAATCAAAACCTAATTTTATTTCTTTCCCCGCCGTCGCCTCTCCTCTCATCCCCTCCCATCTCTATCTTCTCTCCTCCCGTCCGTCTTCGTCGTAGCTACCCATCTATCCCAACCCAATTTCACTAACAAACCTAATTCATTTCCCAACCTATTCCATCTCTCTTACTACAAAAGTCGACACCACTGCAAGAGGATCGACGCTGCTCTCTTGCAACGGTGTCGATTGTATAGACCTCTGCTCTTAGGTGCCTCTGCTTGGGAACGCCACAGCCGTGAGGACCTCTGCCCCCAAGTGCGTCACGCATCCTCTGCCTAGTCCATTGGATCTCGTTGTGGATTGGATCCTATGTGCAGTCGATTGGATCTCGTTTTGTATTTATGCGATGATGTCGATGTCGCTGCTACTACAGTTGTTGCAATCTGATTTTGGATCAGGTTGTGCAACGATTTTGTTGACGGTGTTTGTAGTTAGTGGTGGTGATGGGTGATGTAGGCGGTGATGTAAATGTGGTGGTGATGTTGGCTGTATTCTGGTTTTGGATCTAATTTTAGGCTATGGTTCGGGATATAAGTGAGGAAATAGATGATGCAGAGGTGGTGTGATTTTGGTGGTGGTTTGGTGGTAATTAATAAATTTGGATCTGATTTTTTGGTTGTGTTTAGGTGGCTGATAGTGGTGGATTGTTAGGGCTATGTCTGTATCTATGTTGATGGGTTGTGGCGGTGCTGCAATGATTGGCGATTGGGTATGGAGTTGCGGTGGTGGTGTTGCAAAATGGTGGCGGCGGTGGCGATGGCAATGGTGGTTGTGATGATTTTTGGTGGGAGTGTATTGGATCTAGTGGTGGTGGTGTTGTGGTAGTGGCTGCGGTGTGATATTGTCTGTGACCAATTATTTGGTTTATTTGTGACCAAGTATTGGTGGTGACATTGGTATTGGGAGGTTGTGGTGTTGGTTTGTTTGAGATGGTGATGTTGCTATTGGGCGGCGACGGTGGTGTTGGTGTTGCTACTAGAGATAGTGGCGAGGTGATTGTTGTAAGCGTTAATAGTGGTCACAGATTATTTGGTTGATTGTGATCAATTATTTGAGATTATGACCAATAAATTGTATATTTTGTGACTAATAAATAATAAGTGATCTAAAAATTTGAATTGCGACTTCAACATTTGTGATTTGTGACCGATAAATTGATATTGTGGCCAATAAATTAGATATTTTGTGACCTAAAAAATAATATGTAACTTATTAATTTGATAGATTTGTGATCGATAAATAAATTGTGACTTTTAAATTTTTAATTTGTGATCGATGAACAAACTGTGACCTATAAATTTTTTGAATTGTGATCATAAAATAATTTGTGATATAAAAATTCTGATTTGTGACCAAATTGTATAGATATGTGATCTTAATATATTTAATTAATTAAATATATAATTAATTAATTAAATCATAAATTAATTTTAATAAAAANTAAATCATAAATAAATTTTAATAAAAACCTGATTTTTGAAATTTAAAATCTATATACTTAATTTTGAAATGGTAATACTTAAATATCTTATTTATGTATTGTTCCCTAAAAAAATATGCTTGTCAAACTTAAGATGTGCAAAACTTTCACGAATACTATTGCTCCAACCCAGTAATGGGCTCCGTGTGGTTCAATTCAAGTAGTTTGATAACCAATCCGGTCAAATGCCTATTAAGAATTTTGAAATGAAGGAATTGAATCAGAGCAGAACCAGATCGATTATTTATCAGTGTTCTAAAATGCGTAATGCGTTGCGAAGCGTTGAGGCCGAGAATCAAGAATCACAAGTTTAGGCGTGTCAATGCGAAGAATAAGCGCCATAATGCATTTTGTATTTTTAAGGCATTAAATATATTTTTATATAAAAAATAGATTTTTTACCAAATAAAAAAATAAAAAATAGGTGGCATAATGCTCCACCTAGGCGGGATTAGGCTCGTCTAGACGGCGCATTTTAGAAAAAAACTCATAAACCTAATTTTATTTCTTTCCCCGTTGTCACCTCTCCTCTCATCCCCTCCCATCTCTATCTTCTCTCCTCCCGTCCGTCTTCGTCATAGCTACTCATCTATCCCAACCCAATTTCACTCACTAACTTAATTCATTTCCCAACCTATTCCCTCTCTCTTACCACAAAAGTCGACACCACTGCAAGAGGATCGACGCTGCTCTCTTGCAATGGTGTCGATTGTATAGACCTCTGCTCGTAGGTGCCTCTGCTTGGGAACGCCACAGCCGTGAGGACCTCTGCCCCCAAGTGCGTCGCGCATCCTCTGCCTAGTCCATTGGATCTCGTTGTGGATTGGATCTTATGTGCAGTCGATTGGATCTCGTTTTGGATTTATGCGATGATGTCGATGTCGCTGCTACTACAGTTGTTGCAATCTGATTTTGGATCAGGTTGTGCAACGATTTTGTTGACAGTGTTTGTAGTTAGTGGTGGTGATGGGTGATGTAGTCGGTGATGTAAAGGTGGTGGTGATGTTGGCAGCGTTCTGGTTTTGGATCTAATTTTAGGCTATGGTTCGGGATATAAGTGAAGAAATGGATGATGCGGAGGTGGTGTGATTTTGGTGGTGGTTTGGCGGTAATTAATAAATTTGGGTCTGATTTTTTTATTGTGTTTAGGTGGCTGATAGTGGTGGTTTGTTAGGGCTATGTCTGTATCTACGTTAATGGGTTGTGCGGTGCTGCAGTGATTGGCGATTGGGTATGGTGCTGCAGTGGTGGTGTTGCAAAATGGTGGCGGTGGTGGCAATGGCAATGATGGTTGTGATGATTTTTGGAGTGTATTGGATCTAGTGGTGGTGGTGGTGTTGTGGTAGTGGCTGCGGTGTGATAGTGTCTGTGACCAATTATTTGGTTGATTTGTGACCAAGTATTGGTGGTGACATTGGTACTGGGAGGTTGTGGTGTTGGTTTGTTTGAGATGGTGATGTTGCTATTGGGTGGCGACGATGGTGTTGGTGTTGCTACTAGAGACAGTGGGAGGTGATTGTTGTAAACGTTAGTGGTGGTCACAGATTATTTGGTTGATTGTGATCAATTATTTGAGATTATGACCAATAAATTGTATATTTTGTGACTAATAAATAATAAGTGATCTAAAAATTTGAATTGCTACTTCAACATTTGTGATTTGTGACAATAAATTGATATTGTGGCCAATAAATTAGATATTTTGTGACCTATAAATAATATGTGACCTAAAAAATAATATGTAACTTATTAATTTGATAGATTTGTGATCGATAAATAAATTGTGACTTTTAAATTTTTAATTTTTGATCGATGAACAAACTGTGACCTATAAATTTTTTGAATTGTGATCGTAAAATAATTTGTGATATAAAAATTTTGATTTGTGACCGAAAAATAATGTGTGACTAATTAAATGGTTAATTTGTAACCAAATTGTATAGATATGTGATCTTAATATATTTA